AGTATTAGATTGTGTGTGTACCAAACTGATTTTTCTTATTTTTTTTCATTGATGGGATGTAGGTTGTTTGCATCTTCTTAGTATTGTGAATAGTACTGTGATGAACTTGGGCATGCATGTGTCTACCTTTACTATGGCTCTTATTTCCTTAGGGTGTATATCTAGTAAAAGGTTTGCTGGGCCATATGATTTTTCTATTCCCAGTTGTTTGAGAAAGTGCTGTACCACTTTCCACAGTGGTTGTACAGTTTGGAAGTTCCACTACCAGTATATGGGGGTTTAATCTCTCTGCATCCTCTGCAGCCCTTTTTAAAACTTTGCTGTCAATGCCAATGTGAGATGGTACATCATCATTGTTTTGATTTGTATATCTTGGATTGTGAGTAATCACAAGCATTTCTTCATATGCTTATTGGCCTCCTGGATGTCTTCTAAAATATTTTAAAATTAAAATGTTTGAAGGAGCCCTGATAGTGTGATGGATTACATTTGGGCTGCTAACCCAAAACTCAATTCAAACCTACTTGTAGCTCTGAGAGAAAAAGTTGAGAATATCTCCTCTCATAAAGATCTACAACCTGGGAAGCCCTAGAGAGCAATCCTAGTCTATCCGATTGGATCACTATGAGTCAGAATCGACTCTCTGGCAGTTTGATATAGTGCTGTAAACTTTCAAATGAGACTACTTGGACTTTAATCCAGGCTCTTGGAATTGGCTAATGAACTCATTGTCATCCCTTTCATATGCATTGTGAGTACACATACAAAGTATAAATTCCCTGTTATTAATGACTTTCTTCAAGGATTGTGCATTTAGTCAGCGTTGAATGGCTATGAATTGCTAATGATGATGTATGTTGTTATTTCATGCCAGGATTTCGGGATATGGGAACGAGGAGACAAGACCAACCAAGGGATCTCAGAATTGAATGCCAGTTCAATTGGAATGGCAAAGGTAATTTCCTTGCTTATTTATATCAAGTATTGGTTAAAAACAATTGGAACACATTTAACTGTCATTAAGTTAATTTTATTTTGAACCTTAGGCAAAATCAAGATTCACCAATATATTGTGAATATGTAAGTGAAAATATCTTTCATAAACTCCAGATTTGTATGTCCCAGTTGCTTTTGTAGCACATCATTATTTAAATGTGCCATCAGAAAGTCCGCTGCCATTGAGTGCATTCTGGTTTACAGATTCCCAGGCTGTAAATCTTTTAAAAAATAGTTTTATTGGAATATACTTAATATATAATACATTTTAATCATTCAACATATTAAAATATTTGTGCAATCATCACCACAATCAAGTTCAGAAAACTTTCTTCTAATACTTGTTGTTAGCTCCTCATTTCTTCTTATCCTCCCCTGCCATCCCCCTAAACAATTATTGATCCAGTTACTATCTCTATAGATCCTCTTATCCTAGATTTCATATACAGAAAATTATGCAAAACACAAACAGGAAACAAACGAACAAAAAAAAGCCCAAGGCAAAACATAGTAAACATCAATCACCAAGAAAGTAGAAAATATTAAAAACTGAAACAACTTTAAAATGGGTCAAAAGGGTGATCAGTGATAATGTGTTACATTTTAACCTATCCACATCTGCCATAATCGGCTTTTACCATGCTCTTTGACTAATAGCAAGGTTATTCACATCCCTGGTCTATAGGGGATTCACAGGAAGCTTAATCCATGTGACCCTACACATGGATTTTGGGCTTTCACTGTCATCTGCCTTTAGCAAGTTAGTATTCAAAATTTAAGCTCTAGTACCGTTCCCTCCTTTGGATTTGTATTTCATTGTTTACAGTTCTTAGATCATACAAGCTGGTGTGCTTCTTCCATGTGGACTTAGTTGATGCCTCACTCAGAAAGACAAGCCTCTAATATCCCAGGCACTGTTCTTTCTGATAGCCAGGCCCCACATTTTGTGTGATATCTTCAGTGATATCTTCATGACATGACAACTAATTGTTCTTAGATTGGGACTAGAATTAAATATGAGCCCCCAATCCATTCATATATCTATGGTTTATATATGCCTCTGTTTCAGCTTAGAGACATCATTGTCACTTTACGTTAGAGAACATTATAAATCATATCCCTGAGACATAAGGTAATTCTATTGATAATGTTATTAACTTAAGCCAATGGTATAGTGCTGGAAGTCTTAGCCAGTACCATTAGACACCAGAAAGAAATCAAGGGATTACAATTGGGCAAATAAGACATGAAGCTCTCACTATTTGTGATGATTTAATTTTATATGTAGAGCTGAAA